ACGCGCCGAGCGCGCCCATGTATGCCCCGGTGTACGACGACGCCAACAGACCGTTCTCCGACGTCGGTGCAAGCGCCGTTGATGCTCGAGGTACCGAGTCGCCGCCAAGGCACCGCCAAGCGCACCTTTGCGCGCTACTGCACCAAGCTCGGCAACATGCTCTTGCTGGTGCTCCTGAGCCTCGTGAGCATGTCCTTCTCGATCGGTCTCTTCGTGGTCATCATCGTCGGCGTCAGCTGCGGCATTGGATTCCTCCCGCTCGCCTGCGTCGGCCTCGTTGTCCTCAACTGCCTCATGGCGTGCGTCAAGCCGCTCGCGACCTTGGATGAGGCACTCTTCCGCCAGCGCCAGCAGCTCTACGAAGCGATCGTCAGCTCCTAGTTTCGTTCTAACTTTCAACGGGTCGAGGATGGCAACGTATTTGAGCCCGAATGACCACCACCCGTTTTACGTTTCTATTTTTCTTGAACATATCTCTCCTTCAGCAATGAGTTTCTATTTTTCTTGAACATATCTCTCGTTCAGCAACAGGTGGGTGGTGGCGCTGCAAGCCAATGGCCCGCGCCTGAGGAGCCAAGCATTTAAGAAGTTGAAGCCGTCGCTTCAAGAATGTATTGGACGCGAGTCGTTCCTCGGTTGACGCAGGGCTTCTTCCATGGACGGTCCTGTGGACACCTGCCGTGCCTGATAGGGCTTCTCGGCACCTATTTCGCGTGTGCCATCTGCGCGTCGCGTTTAAACCACAAAAACGCAGCCTCCGTGTGTTGCCCACGAGCCGTTTCGCGTGCGTACGACGTGTTTACCCATTCTCGAAACGGCAAAAAACGCATTTACCGTTCCGGTGCGTATTAGACATGGGTGGACAGGTGGCGAGAAGGCCGGTTGCCCATCACGGGTATGCACCGTCTGCTGGTCACGCGCATCATCCGAGCGCAACCTCATGGCAGCCTCCTCGACGCAGTAGTTCGCGCCAAAGAAGAATTCCAAGGGCGAGGCCAACGCACACGCTGCCACGTATATGCGTCGTGCTGTCTCGTATGCATTCGCTCGAGGCTGGTCGCGTGGGCTGTCGGGGCCGCTTTGTTGGCGTCGACGCGCTCTGGCAGCCAATCGCAGCGCTGCATCGGGCCTGACACCGCGTGTGTCACGCTTGTGGGCAGCTGAGGCAACGTGGCGTCTGGTCGGACGTTCGTTTACAGCCGTTGCCGTAGTCACTGGATGTCATTTACCTTTTCACAGGATGACGACCGAGACGCTGCATCGCTTTGTCGAGCCGCGCCACTTTGCCGTGAAGGAGCTCGCGACGCACTGCACCGTGTGCACGGGCGAGTACAGTAACTGGCAGCGCAAGCACAACTGCGCCATGGTATCGCTTCCTTCATCCTCACGACAAGGCCACTGATGATGGATCCTACTAGTGCGGCGAAGTCGTCTGCGCCCAGTGCATGGACGTGCGGGCCATCACGGTGCCCAACAAGGGCGCGGCCAAGGTCTCTGTCTGCTTTGCCTGCACCGTGCGCTGCGAGCACAAGTACCACTGCGACACCAAGCGCGCAGCCGGCGACGACCAAGAGCCCGTGAACGAGGCGCCGGCCGAGCATACGTACGTGGATACGTCGAGAAGGATGTGCCGTCGCTCATGCAATGAATTAGCTACACGGCCTCGATGGCGCTCATGGACAAGCGCGAGTTCCTCCGCGTCGATGCACTCTTCCACTACTACAAGGGCTGTCCAGAACACAACCACGAGAAGCCCGTGCTCACGATCGAGTGCATCGCCCCCGTCGACGCGTGGGTCCTCGACGTCCACCGGCACCAGTGCGTTGCGTGTGTGCGCAAGTTTAGCACGCTCTTGCGGAAACACCACTGCCGCATCGTACGTTGTCCCTCTACGTTCTTATTGCGCTTGCTCAAGTCGTACTCTCGTTGTTAGTGCGGCGAAGTCGTCTGTAAAACTGCATCCAGTCCAAGAGCGCGCTTTCGACCGGCACAGACCGCGTCAACATCCAAGTGTGCAAACTGTGTTTTCTCAAGTACTATTTTGTCAACTAACGTCCAATTATTGTCCATGTCCTGTGTACGTTCCAAACGACTTGCGATTGAAAGTTGCCTCTGGCCACGACTCCCGACGTTGCGGCGACAACAACGAAGAGAGGCAAGGACACGGCGTCCAGGCAGGCTTCAAGGATTGCTCGCGCACGATTCAAAGATACCAATGTAGCAGATCCTTTGAGCGTCAACACGAGGGCGTCTCTGTCTCCTGCACATCGCACCAATGATGCTAAAGGTGTCGCTTTCCTCCATCTGGAAGAAAACGGCAACGTTGCAATTGATGCTTCAAGCATCGTCAACATCGCACGCACAGATGTCGAAAGCTCCGCGACGTAGTCATGCTTGGACCGTCGGCGTTGCAGCGTACGCAAAGTACCAAGTCCCTTCTAGAAGACGCTAAGTTTCTGTACGCTTACTCGATTCCTGTGCCTGTACCTACCGGCATTACATGATCGTTCCTACTGCATATTGGCACACTTTAAAATTCCAAATTGCACTTTCTCTTTATCCGGACAGCTCCGGATATAACGGCCCACGAGGCTGCCACGAGGGCCTGAGAAATTCCTTCGTTGCAGCGCCTGAAGCATTCTAATGCGAGAGAGTATTACCAGATAGAGTATCGCAAAGAAGGAATGTGCGCATCGAACAGAATCGACTGCCGCTGCGCGCATCGAAGCTGCATGTCCATCGCACAGTGAAGGAGTCTTCCCAGGCAAGAGCGAAGAAGACATGAGCTGGCTGTTCAAGACGGTAGCCGCCGCCGTGCGAACCGACGGCTCACGGTGAGGTCTAGGACAACGCCAAGCAGCTGCGGGAGGCCGCCAAGGCAGGCCAAGTCTCCATTGTGGCCACCTTGCTGCAGGCTGGCGCGAGCCCGAACGCCTCCGACTGGGTGCGTCTGCAGCTCCTGCGCTTCGAATTCTGATGGGATCTGGCAAAGGCGGGCGACACGGCGTTGCACGTGGCGGCTGAGCGCGGCCAGACGCGCTGCATTGAGCTGCTTTTGCAAGCCGGCGCCGATGCCAATGCCGTCAACCTCGTACGATCTCTCGCACGCACAAAGTACGCTTGTCGAGACGAGGGGCTAGGCGCGACGCACGCCGCTGCACTACGCAGCACTGTACGGACACGTGGCCGCAGCCACGGCGCTCCTGCAAGGCCGGACCGTCGTCGAGTACGCCTCGCTCTTTGGCCCGGCCGCAGACGCGCCGCTCCAAGGCAACGCCGACCCAACACTGCCACGAGTGTACGTCATCTCTGCCATGTGTTCGTGTTGATGGATTCGTCTTATGTAGGATGGCGAGACGCCGCTGCATTGGGCGGCCCGGCACCCGTTCCCGAGCCTCGTGGCCACTCTGCTGCAGTACAAGGCCGATGTCCATGTCCGCAATACGGTACTTCGTCGCTACACGGACAAAGTCTCGAACCATGCACAACTTGTCGATGCTAGAAGGGCAAGTCGGCGCTGGACGTGGCCGTGAAGCGCGGCTACACGGACGTCGTAACCATGCTCCTCGAGGCCAAGGCAAGCGTCCAGGAGGCCAACCGCGTACACTGCCACGTCGCACGATGGAGATGTGGACATGTTGTCATAGGATGGGTGGACGCCGCTGCATGTCGCTACGTACCACGGCTACACGCTCATCGTGCGCCTCCTTCTCGACGCGGGTGCCGACGTAAATGCAACTACTACCGTACGTCGACGGACGTGTCTGACTTGTCTGATGGCGTGGAGACCGGTAGGCGGGCGACACGCCTCTGCACGTGGCAGCGCGGTATGGCCACGACAGCATCATCGAAGTGCTGCTCGCGTGCGGCGCCAGCACGTACATGTACAACCACGTACGTTGGAGCCGCAGCGTCCATCGATTCTACACTTGGCATGTAGACGGGCAAGACGGCGCTCGCGCTCGTCAAGGCCCACACGCACGGCGCCTTGCTGCTTGAAGCTGCCATGGTCGCGGCGGCCACCGAAGATGCTCACAACCAGCAACGGCACGAGCAGCTGGTCTGCGCCGCGCGCAATGGCGACGTGCACGAGACGGCAAGGCTCTTGAAAGCGGGTGTCTGCCCCGACGACGCGACCGTATATGGCTGTGACCTCTTTCTCTGTTGACCGTCGCGGTGTAGAGCCCGACGACGGCGCTGCACTGGGCGGCGGCGGAGGGCCATGCTCCGATCGTCGAGATGCTTTTGGAGGCCGGCGCCGACACGGACCCGGTGCAAGCCACGGTGCGAAGAATCATGTTTCCTGCAAAGTATCAAGGTATCAAGTAGGACTTGTGGACGCCGTTGATGCTGGCGGCCGCCCACGGCCATAATGCGGTCGTAGAGAGCCTACTGCGTCGCTACGCCAGCATTTTTTGACGGATGCGGTGACCGGTTTTGATTTCTTGGCCGCGGCGACTGACGAGCTGCCTGTAGGAGGGCAACACGGCACTTTTGATCGCTGCGATGCACGGAGCGACAGCGTGTGTCGAGCGCTTGCTGCAGGCGCAAGCAGACGTGTCGGCCACGAATGCTGTACTTGCGATTGAATAGAGGAGGTATCACGGCGTGTGGCGTAGGCGGGGGACTCGGCGCTGCATGTGGCCGCTCGCAGCGGCCACAGTGACGTGGTCCGCGTTCTGCTCGCCGCGCACGCGCCGCTGCATGCCATCAACCACGTACGACCCGTTTCCGTTATAAGGAGTCACCGTAACTGAGCCTGGAGTGCTGTGCAGGCCAAGGAGACGGCGCTGGTCCTTGCGCCGTTGCACAGCGACGTGGAAGCGATCCTGGCCCCGCTTGTCCAGTCGCACGTTGGCCACGTACAGACTCGATCATAGTCATCGATGGTTTGACGCGAGTGCGTAGCTCATCGAGGCCGTCAAGACGGGCGACGCTGCTTCCGTGCAAGCCTACCTGCAGGCTGGTCTGCCCGTGGATCTGCGCACCAAGGTAGACAACATATAGCGCGGTCGCGTGAGCATGCGGCTAGGCCGGCCGAACGCTTCTGCTGCTGGCCATTGAGAAAGGCCAGACGGCCATGGTCGACGTCTTGGTGGCGGCCAAAGCACCCGTCAACCAACGCGCAACCGTCCGTACCAAGTTATCTCGTCGCTGGACCGACTGATGGCATGGGCGTAGGATGGAACGTCGCCGCTGAGCTTGGCCGCCGGTCTTGGTGACCACCGCGTCGCTGAGACCTTGCTGCAGGCGGGTGCAAACCCCAACACAACGCATCGCGTAAGGCGGATCCAACCCTCGCCCTCCCCTAACCCGATATTGTAGGAGGGTCGTGCGCTGCTTCTCGTGGCGGCCAGCGACGGGACACGAAGCGCTCGTGCTACTGCTTGCGACGCACGGCGCCAACGTCCATGCGGCTGACGGCGTACGATTCGTCTGCGCTGCACATGTTTCGCATCTATATCTTTTTGTAGATGGGCCGCACGGCGCTGTACGAGGCCGTGCGCCATCACCATGCGTCGGTCGCGCGCATTCTTCTGGCCCATGGCGCAGACCCCTACGCGTCTGCTAACGACGTGCGATGTCTCTGGTTGTCGACATGGTGGCCCATGCTGCAAGTACTAGGACACGGACTCGCCGCTGGTGCTGGCCATGCGCACGGGCCAGAGCGACATGGCCGATCTGCTGTATCGAAGCGTGTACGAGCCGCCATACGAGGTATTCGCCCCAGCATTCGCACATGGTGCGACCCATGGACGTAGATGGATGCGTCGGACATTCTCGTGACCGAGCGCTTGCGGGCGGGCGGGCAAGGCGTCGTCGACCGAGGCCGCTACAAGGGCACGCGTGACGTCGCCGTCAAGTCGGTGCTTTCAACGTCCTCGGACTCGTCACTGGAGGACGAAATCACCGTCTTGACCAAGTACCGCTGTCTTGTTGTGCTTGGTTATAAAGCACGCTTTGGGGTTAGGTGCACCTCGCCTTTCATCCTGCCGCTGCTCGGCTACGTCAGAGACCCGTCCATGATGGTGCTCCCGTTCATGGACGGCGGCAACCTCCGCGAGTACCTCGACGGCGTCCGCGAAGAGCGACTGCCCGAGATGTACGCGACCGTCGAGATTGCCTACGCAATCGCGTCGGCCCTTGCGCATTTGCACGCAAAGTCGCTCCTCCACCGGGATTTGAAGTCGGACAATATCCTCTTGAGCCGTCGGCGCTTTGTGCAGGTCGCCGATCTCGGGTCGGCCCGCGACCACGCGCAGGACACGACGATGACGCAAGCCGTCGGCACGCTTCTGTGGATCGCGCCCGAAGTCTTCAACGGCGGGCGCTACGCGTTCTCGGCCGACGTCTTTTCGTTTGGCGTCATTTTAACCGAACTCGACACGCGTCAAAAGCCGTATTTTGACGCGCCATTGCGTGGCTTTCAGCTTACGGACGCGATTCGCGCGGGCGATCTGGTGCCGTCTCTGCGCGCCACGTGTCCTGCGTGGTATCGATCCCTCGCCCAAGCGTGTTTGCATCTCGACCCGAGCGCCCGGCCGGCCGCGACCGAGATCCAGACCACACTGGCGCTGCATTTGCCACGCACTTGCTCGTCCTTGGTGCGCCATCGCAGCGATGTATCGATGTCGACTCATCTTGGCGTAGGCTCTTGCACCCTGCACTGCGTAACACCCAACTCGTAGCTTCTTGAGCCGTGAACTCAATGTACTGTGATCCGACGGCCTATTTATCTGCTTGGGAGGGTATACAGGCTCAAGCCGTCGCGGTGCCATCGTCGCGGTCCTTGCTTCATTGCATTAACGTGTGAGATGCGGAGGCTCCTACAGGTCCAAGCCACGGTAGTGACAGATGTCATAATGGCATCTGGACGCTGAATGGACTTGGCAGAGCGGCTTGCCCGGACACTCGACACCTGGCAGCGCCACCAGACCACCAGACGGTGCTTGCGAGGGTTAGGGGTAGTGCGCCGGTAGCCACAAAGGGCTCGCATTTTCCATTTCCCAAGCTGCATCGACGCTTGGACGTATGTCGTCGTCGTTCGTGTGGGACCGAGACGTCTACAGCGGCGGCTTTGTCCATGGCCAGCGCTACACGCTTGACCCGGCGTCGCAGCATGTGCCGTTGAACGCGACGCAGAGAGCGCTGCGCCCGCCTCGACCCATTGTCCCTGCCAACTACGAGACGTTCCTAGGACTGCCCTCGTACCGCGACGGCAACCGCTGCGGCTTCACGCTCTTCACAGCCTTGTCGCGCGCGTCACGCCCCGAGAACCTTGTGATTGGTGTCGTCGATCAAACCCGCGCCGGTGACGTCGCGTGCGTCGACGCGTACTGCAAACTCGCCGCCGCGCACTGGCCCACCGACACGACGTGCCGGTACCAAGATCGCATCCGCGTCGATGCACATGACGCGGCGGCGTCGACGGGTCCGATCGCGGCGCGTGTGCGTCTCAACGCGCTCATCCAAGACGAGGTCTTTTGCCTTTTGACCGATGCCCACATGCAGTTCCTGCCACACTGGGACGACGAACTCGTGGCCGACTGGACGCGCACCGAGAACGAGATGGCAGTCCTCTCAGTCTACCCGCGCGGCTTTGAATGGATCGGGCCCAATCTCACGCCGAATGTGACGCAGACGCGTCACATTTGCTACTTTGCCCACGCGACGCTGTCGACGGTGCCCGACTTTGGCGCGATTCTGCTCGACAACTCAAACACGCCGCAGCTCGGCGCGGATTGGCGCGGGCTTCCAGTTTAGCAAGTGCCATGCGCAGACGCGCGTGGCCCTCGATGCGCGTCTGCGCTGGGTCTTCCTCGGGGAGGAGCTCCTGCGCTCGATGCAGCTCTGGACGCACGGCTACGACATCTACTCACCATCACGGCAAGGTCCCGTCGTCTTCCACGACGAGTCACGCATCGGCCACAACGGCTCGTACGTCCACTTTGCCTTGTCAAACGTGGTTTTTGAGACGTCTTAGGTTTGATGAAAATGTGGTCGACCCCGACGCACATGACACGGAGCGCGACTTGTCGATGAATCGTGTGCGCCAGCAGCTGCACTTGCCCGTGCTGGGCGAGGCGGACGAGACGGACCTGGACACATACTACACACAAGACCTTGTTCGGTCTGTGGACGCCTACCTCGCGTTTGCGGGTATTTCAAACGCGGATCTCGCCAAGGACCACTGGCCCTGCGACCAGCTCCACTGGGTCCCGTACACCAACCCAGAGCCGATCCACGCGCTCGTACCAGGCTACGCGACGGTCGACATGCAGCGCAACAACGATACTGCATCGGTGTACTTTGTGGCTGGCGTGGTTGTCGTGGCACTTGCGGCGGCGGTGGGCGGCTGCGTGCGGCGCTGGCGCCGCCAAGCGGTAGCCTATACCAGCGTGGTCACCGAGAGCGATGACGAGACGAGGGCACTCAAACGGGTTTAACACCAAGTGTCAATTCCACTTCAAGTCGATTTTGGACCATTTTCAAAAGCTATCGCGGAAAAGCTCGATGAACTCGTCGAGTTCCAAGCTCGCGTTGGCGTTGGCGTCGTACTGCTGAAAGATCTTGACAATGTCGGCGAGCTGCCACCGATCGGCGATGCTGCGCTCGGGATGCTTGTCGTAGAAACGGCGTTCGTTGGCCTTGAACTCGCGGAGGAGCTCGACCGGCTCGATCGCGCCGCTGTTGTCGACGTCAAAGAGATGGAAGAGCGCCGTGATGTCCGCCAGTGCTTTCGGGCTCAGTTCTCGGACCTTGGCCTTCTCGTGCCGCTCGGCAGCCACCGCGAGCCGCGCGAACTGCAGCATCTCGTCCTGCACGCGGTTCGACGCTCTGGGAAACATGGCCTAGACAGGATTCCACTGCCAATACATTCGTTATGGACTCGTACCTTGAGGAGCTCGGGCATGTCCAGCCTGCCGTTGTGGTCCTGGTCGAGGTCGCGGAAAACCCTACCCCTAGCTCCACCGCGTGCTCGCAATAGAAGAGTTGTACGTGTTGAGGGCGTCGCGCCACTCGTCGCCTTCGAGTTGCGACAACTTGTCCACAAACTCGCTCGTCTCGATGACTCCGCTGTTGTCGACGTCGATGCGGACGAAAATGCGGCACACTTCAAGCACGTGGTCGCGCGGGTACGGGCCAAAGAGCGGCTGGAGCAAGATGCGACGATCCGCGTCAACCATGTCCTTGACACTGGGCGCTGGAGATGTGAGGGCTTTCACAGGCTTGGGCAGACTGCTGCTGTTGTTGTTGGTGGTGGTGGAGGTAGTGGTGACAGCAGGCAGTACGACGTGCGTGACGCTGCAAGTGCCCGGCCGCGGTGGATTCGATGCTGGTGTTTTCTGCGACGCGGCCTTGAGCGGCCGGTCGGCGATCATCGCTTCAAAGCGAGCGAGGGTCTTCTCGGGACTTCCGGCCACCGGTGTAGCTTTGGAGGTTGTCGGGATGCCGTCGTGGATGATGCTGTCGAGGCTCTGTGCACTTGCCAACATTTTCTCGAGTCGGAGCGACGACGCCCGGTGCAGCTTGACGACCTTGGACACTAGAAAACAGCGTTCCATCTCATCACGGAAGAGGTCATGGGCGACGTACGGGTCGGAGCGGAGGCCGACGCGGCGAGGGTTGGGACGTGGCGTCGACGGGGCTTGGGCGTCGGCTTGCGCGGGATGTCTGGTCCGAGGTGTTGCAGCACGAATGCGGACGGTGTCGTGTCGATGGTTTCAAGGAGCAGCTTTGGTTGCTTCTTGGTCGCCGGGTTCCTAGCATGGCATGTCATAAAAAGGGGGGACGACGACGTGGGCGCACCGTAAATTCCGGCTGTTTTCGGTAAACAAGTGACGGTACACGAGTTTTTGGCGGTTGAGACTGTTGACACTCCAGTTGTCCTTGTCGTCGAAACTCATTTGAGAGAGCTGATTGGACGAGAGGCGGGGAAGCGTCGTTGAGAGCGACGAGAGCGTCTCGCGATGGTCGGACGCGAGCGACTACAGAACGCTCGTTCAGTTCTCTAGATAGACTATACCTCGAGGATTTGAGGGCCCGCGGGCGAGTGTACGTCGGACCGATCGGGTTGGGTCGTGGCCGCGGGCTGCGGCTTGAAGATACGGTCCATGCGCGCCTTGTATTTGACAGCTTCAACTTCCCAAGCCGTTTCCTAGTGTTGACATGATTTCAGCTCTTCCCTCGAGATCGCAAGAGCAAGACGAGACCCGAGCCATTTGAACGTCCGACTTCTTCCACGTGCTGTCGCCGTGCAGTTGGCCAAAGAGACGGTCTTTCTCGCTCTTGGAGGACGCCAACGAGGCAGGCACCTCGGGCTCTCCGAGGTCCAGCGGCGATGGCGATCCTAACGACGGCACACTCTGCACCCGCCCGAGTGTAGCATGCCTATAGAGCATGATGAGAGTTATTCGGTGATGTACTAGATC